AATACCGTTTAAAAGTAAAAGACCAAATTTTTTCGAGTCAATAAGTACAGCGACATTAACAATATACTTTACTGCAGCTGCAGTTTCAAAAATTAATTATAATAGCTACATGCAGCTTCTATTGTCGATATTACGGTTGTGCATGGGTGTCCACAAGGTGCTTTTAATTTCATGTGCGCATGTCTTTTGTAGGCAATATTGGATAAAATATTTATGTGGTATAAATGACTTGGAACTGATTGCCAGACACTTAGGATATTGCTCAAAGATACCTTTTAAAATAATCTGTGAAATACTATTTATTTTTTCTACCAGCTCAATAAGTCTCCTGTTAGTACTATCTCCTAGAACTGACTTATATCTTCCATCAAATGATACTATTACAATTATTAATTTTGTTTTGTTTAATATTTTTAACTATGGAATAATTATTATGTATTTAACAACAATAGATATATTACACAAAAGATGGCGACATTTTAAAAAGCTAATGGAGGAGCAAAGGAAAAACGGCATTTTACTTATGGATTTTGCTTCCTTAATAAATTTTGTAAAGAGATCAGGCCGTTTAAATAACATTATTAAGCACTTTTTTGGTCCTCCAATTTTTTCCTATATACTATCGAGCTTATTATCCATCACGCTAGTTGTTTTTAAATTAATCAAAGACAAAATGGACATAAATATATTCCTACGGAACAACTTGTTAGTTTTATATAACATGGTAAGTACTATAATGATTTATACCTCATTTTATAATTTATGACAAGGTATGAGAGGCTTGGCAGAAAAGTGATATCTTCTAATTTTATGGAAGGTTGCCACGCCATCTTTTGCACGGTCCGATACTTTTGTCGATTGATAACTTATCTCTTGCTATTTTGACGACACGGGTCTCCTCCATTTTGCTTGCGTAGTTATTCCATTCTTTTCTTTTATTTTGTGTCCATTCATTTATACACTGTATGTTACATTTTCTTCTAATGTTTTTACTTTTTTTTCACCTCTTAGCGTATTTCCTATAACTCATTCCAGTACTCTCATTTCTGCCGTTTCCAGTAGCCATTGCGTTGTGGCTGTGCCATGTCTTGTTTCTGAGGCATATGTCATTATTGGTCTTACACTGGCTTTATAAATTATTGACTTCATCTCAGTGTTAATCTGCCTGTTTCGCCATATAGTGTTATTAAGGCATTCTGTCAGTCTTCTTTGTTTTTTGTAATTGATCTCTTACATCTATGTTAAGGTCTCTATAGCTAGACATTGTAATTCCCAGTTATTTTATTTCCATTACTTGTTTAATACTGATGTCATCAATTTCTATCTGGCTGTTTTTTTTTGGTGACTCCTATTGTTTAAGTTTTCTGAGAAGAGATTGTCATATTAAATTCTTTTGCTTTTATGGTAAATCTATGGACCAGTCTTTGCAAATTATCTTCATAATGGGCTATCACTATTGCATCGTCTGCGTAACAGAGTATTTTTATTTTTGTATTCTCTTCCTTTGTTAACGCTTTTGATGATCAAATTGTAGAGCATGGAATCAATGAATCCCCTTGTCATATTCTACTGCCTATTTCTGTAGGTCTGTAAATTATCTATCTATTCTGTCTTTAAATTTGTTATTTTTGTAAATTTTTTCGATATATTTTATAATATTTAGGACAATTTCTCTGTTACGCAGGAGATGGATCTCATCTTCTGCATGATAGAGGAGTCTTACATTGTTAAACGCTTTCTTTATGTCAATTAAATGCAGAGATGGTGGTCTACGCACCTGAGTGATGTAGTGCCACTAAGAACTTTCTTTAAAATAAATGTCTGTTGTGTCTTTTTAAATATTTTTTTGTTTGTCCCTAAGTGTTTTTTAATATTGTTCTGAAGCTATTTTCTTGTGGCATTGTAAATTAATTACTATTAAACTGGGAATAAGCTACAATTAAAGATAAAAATACGTTTATTGACGTTTCAATTTCCACTTTGGAAATCGTTCTCAAAATGATTGGAAGTGAACGATTTCCGAAGTGGAAATTAAAACGTCAATAAACGTATTTTTATCTTTAATTGTGGCTTATTCCCAGTTTAATAGTAATTAAGTGTTTTTTAACTTAAATTTATTTGACATCACAATAATCTGCCCTAATATAGAAGTTAATCTTGATCACTTAAGGCTACTTTCTCAAAATATTTTATAATACATCTAAAAACAACAACTATTATTAAAACACTTAGTCATCGATAATAATAATAAATCAAACTTGCAAGATAGGCAAGATTTTAATTTACATCCAAGAAGACTTTATACATGGAAAGCACCAAGTGATAGCTTAAAGAAAATCATAAGAAACCAAATTGATTTTATCAACATAAACAAAAGGTTTAGAAATTCTTTTTCACCTTAACAAAAATATATCCAGGTGCAGATACCTTCTGTGTATATAGTCAAAATAATTCATTAGAAAATGAGGCCCAAGATAAATATAAGACTACTTAAAATAAGTGACACCTAAAAAAAGTAAAAACAGAAATTAATAAGAATTTTACGAATATAGTTGAAGACCCTACTAAAGGCATAGCTAAACAGTGGAACGAAACGAAGACATATATTACTACAATTTCGCATGAATATCTAAAATCAAAAAGAAAAAACAAGCAAGAATAGACGACAGATAAAATATTGTAGATGATGTATGACAGTTAATACACTACAACGCAAACATGACGATGTTTATATGCACAAAAAAATTAAGAAGTACAAAATACCAGAAAATAACGCCATACAGGCATAGTTGTAGATTTTAAGGGCCAAATGTTGACTACCATTGAAGATAAATTACGAAGATGGAGAGAATATATGCAAGAATTATTCGAAGGTGCAGCACGAAATCCGACTGAAATAAATAATCCCTACGGTCCACAAATAACAAATGAAGAAGTAACTATGGCCATTAAGCGGATTAAAGATAGGAAATCACCAGGACCTGATGAGGAGCATGGTGAAATTTTAAAGCCATTAGAGGCACACCAAATCACAGCTCTAACGAAGCTATTCAACAACATCTACGAGACTGGTTACTTACCAAAAGACTGGCTACTATCAATATTCATTGTACTTCCTAAAAAAGTCAACGCTAGAAAATGTGAAGAACAGATAATAATTAGTTTAATGATCCATGTACTTAAAGTACCTCTTACTATCATTCACTAGCGCATATAAATTAGAAAAACACCTGAGTCAAGTTTAATTTGAATTCAGAGCAGGACACGAAACGAAGAAAGTACTTTTAAGTTTTGAAACATCAATACAGAGAGCCAGGGATGTCAACTGCGATGTGCATGCATGTTTCATTGATTTCGAGAGGGGATTTGATAAAGTCCCACATGGAAAACTTATCGATATCTTAAAAACATCAGACTCGATGGTAAGAATATAAGATTGATCTTAAACTTAATTCTCCAACAAAAAGCAACAGTACGACTAGAAAATGAACTGTCCAAGATCTTCACAGTCGAAAAATGAGTAAGGAGCATATTGTCACCGACATTATTTAACATGTACTTTGAAAACATCTTTAGAGAGGCCTTGGACAAAACAGAAGATGAAATTGGTGTAATTGGCCAACTTAAAAAAACATTAGATTACAGTGTTGCTGGCAGATAGTGCGCAGGTTATCCAAAGAATGATGGATAACGTTGTAGAAGCATGTAACAAATATGGCCTAAAATTCAATTGCAAGAAGACAAAAATATTGATCATTGGTAAAAACACCGGCATAAACGATCAAATTACAATTAACGATACACCGTTAGATAGAGGGGAAAACCGTGATATTTAGGCTGCAATATTAAGGATACTTGTGATCACAGCTACGAAAGAAAAACTCGTATTTAAAAAGCCAGAAGCTCGTTCAACAGCCTTAGGAAGATTCTCTGCAACTTATCTTTAAGTGTCAATATAGGCATAATAATTCTCAGATGTTACGTCTCTCGTATTCTCCTCTATGAAGAAAGCTGGAGCCTTACAGAAGGTGCCATAAAACGATTAGAGGCATTTGAAATGTGGTGCTACCGACGTATGTTGAGGGTCTCATATATACACCACACAACTATTCCTCAGAGGCTAAGAAAAGACAAAGAAATTATTAACAGCATAAAAAAACAGAAAATTGTTACAATTGATTCTTCAGGGCAAGATTGAGGGTAAGAGAGGAACTGGACGTAGACGAATATCCTGGCTCGTCAATCTTAGGAAATGGACTTTGTGGTATTATTCCTTAAATATTATAATTCATATACAGAATAAGTTAAAACAAAAAAGTGTAACATAGTTTCGCATTTTGTTTATATAAAATATGTTTAATAATTTGAATCGAGGACATTCATAAATAGACTCGAATTAGAATTTGTAAGTCAGCACTATTGTGCTTACAATCATTATCTCAGAAATCAGAACTAATTTAACGTCAAGATGGCAAGTTAATGTACTGCGTATTGATAATTATGAGGGAGTCTCATATCAACTTCACATAAGTACGAACTACGATTAGAATAAGTAATGTTAAGTAAAAGTGTACTGTTGTGTTCTAAATAAACGGTCATCTAATTTAACAACCCCGTTATTTACCATTTACGACGTTATTTACCATACTTTTTTATTTGGTACTCTACTTTTTTACTCCTTTCTTCCGCTTCTTCACAACATTTTCATTATTTTGTTCAGAATAACTAATATTCTCCTAAGGCCGTTTGACCACCTAACTTTTATATCCAAAAAATTATTTAATTTATTTTGTGGAGCACTGTATATTGAAAAGAAAGTAAATAAAAAGATTTTAATATTTAAGATACTCTATTATATTATATTTATGTAGCTGTAATAACAATACATATGAATATTGTGCGTCTTTAATTAAATTCAATAAAAATAATTTAATTTCCGTTTTTATTAAAGTTGTTCAACTCAATTTGTATGATTTATTAGTAGCTGAAAACAGTTCAACATGAATTCCTACAAAAATTATGAATGCTACAAAAAAGCGTTTGGGATTAAAATTCCACCAAATAAAGATTACGTACTTTTGGATAAAATGTGCAAATATCTACCAGTTCTAGGAATTGTACCTTCTAAAAGTAAGAAACCGAATTTCTTTGAGGTCGTGGTTATAGCTGGACTGTCAATATTTTTTATAGCGACTACAGTTTCACAAGTCACTATTACTATTAGGTATACTAGTTACATGCATCTTCTTGTGTCATCATTAAGATTATTTACAAGAGTTCACAAGTTGGTTGTACTTTTATGTACACACATTTTTTGTAGAAAATATTGGATACAATATATTTCCGGTGTAAAAAACTTAGATTTGATCGCTAGACACTTAGGTTATTACTCAAAAACATCCTTAAGGATAAGTTGTGAGATAATCTTTATTTTTTCTATCACTCTAGTGGGTTTATTGTTCATACTGTCTCCTGTAGTCGACTCTTACCTTCCGTCAGATATTGTTACAATTACTAATTACGTTTTTTTCTATACAATGAACTATGGAATAATTGGCGTTTATTTAACAACAATACATATATTACAAAACAGATGGATGTATTTTAAAAAGCAATTGGAGCAGCAACAAAAATTTGATAGGCTAAGTTTAGATTTTGCCTGTTTAACAAAATTTCTACAAAGATCAGGTCATCTAAATATCAATATTAACCATTTTTTTGGACCTGCAATTTGTTTCAATATACTGTCGCATTTATTTGCTATAATAGTAATTGTTTTTAAGTTAATGAAGGAAAAAATGGCTATGAATATACTATTACGAAATAATTTCTTAGTTGTTTCTAACGTGGTAAGTAATTTAAACGATTTAGTTTGTTTAGGTTGATTAATTAGTTGGTTAACTATAAAAAAATAATTACATCCAGACTAACTAAAAATTCCCATCAATCGCAGTAGAATATAAGCATCCCAAACTAACCGTTTGTTAAAAAACATGTAAACTATTGTTGTACCCTTTACATAACAAGCTGGTACCCAATTTTAATTAGTGCACTACAATGCGCGTCCCATACTGCTCGGATTGTGCGAACAATCCTGTAAGATAATGAAATTTAGGTTTTATCATAGCCTACATAAACGCCAGATTTAAACCCCATTGAGCATGTATGGGATATTTTAGGTAGACGCATTTTACAATGAAATTTTTCCGTTTAATACAAGACAGAAAGTGTGTGAAGGCCTTTCAATAAAGTGAAACACAATACCGCAGCAAGACGTTGACCATCTGATCATAAGTTTGACTTACAGATGTAGAAAAGTAATCAACAATCGTGGGGATCATCCACTATACTAACTGGGGATTAGGTTGTTCAAAGGTAGCTGGTGTTTGGCTTTTGTAGATTTTTGACATCCTTACCCCAAAGAGAGCTATCGAAGTTTGGCAACACAGAAGCGACTTCTCTGAGAGAGAAGTGTCACGACTAATTGAGTGCTATCCTTGTGCGATCACTTCAAAGAACAGAAAAAGAAAAGAAAGGCGCACAAGTTCAAATATATTAGACAAACTTATGACTATTCCTCGTAAGCCCCCCACCCCCGGGACAACTCTCTCGTCGAATTAAACCAAATTTTTACATCAATCTGATCCAAACAAGACATCGTCAACATACGTCTGTTCTAGTACTGAACCTAAGACTCGAGGGAAACTTCTATTTCTCAGAGCAATACTAGTGTACTGATAAAGGGAGCAAAGTTTTGCCCAAAATAAACACGTTTGAGTTCAATGCATTGAACGGGGTCAGAGAGACGTGCTCTTCACAGGATATTTTACAAGAATCTATGTTGAGGGGCTTTTTTTATTAATCTAAACATGCGCTCAATATCGGTGGTTAACAGAAACTTGAAAGTTCTGAACCTAATGAGAATATTATATAGATCTTGTTGTACTTGGTAGCCTTTAAACGCCGTGTCGTTGAGAGAGATAGCAAAAGAGGTTTTGGCGCTAAAATGAAATACAACACATAGTTTGGTAGAGAACCTTTGCTTACGTACAACACATAAGTGAGAAGTAGAATATTTTATTTTATTAAATACATTAAGAGAGGTGAGAGGGATTACTTTTGCATGTGAAAGGGTGAGATATTCATTTATTACTTTATATGATATTCTGAGAATAGCTAGGGGCTACCACGGAGCTTTCTTTCTAGAGCTAAGAACCGTTTTTCTGCAGAATAGTATAAGTCGTCAAGCTTTGTATACTCTTTTGGGGATTTAAAAGGAACTTCCATTTGGTACGTGCCATCTGCTGGAATTTGGGTAGTGGAAACAGATATTTCTTTAGCCAAACCTTCTTCTGGTTTAAGAGAAGTATCATAGGGAATTTCTTTGGTTTCAAAGAACTTTACTAAGAGCTTTTCTAGAGGAGTTTCTAGCTCATCTGCTACACCAGCAATAATTCATCCTAAATACGAGCTAAAGAGTATAAGGAGACCACAACCTATAACGTTTGGTTTATTGTCCAACAAATCATAATAGAGATCTCCTCCTATTAAAATATTGACATCTCAGAATATGTCAAAATCTGGGTCTGCTAAAAATGTTCGAAAATGGCAAGGAATGTTTAAAGACGTTAAATTTATTTTAAATTGGGTAATTTCTTAGTCATCTTATCTATAACTGCACATGAGAGAGAAAATTTAAGATTCTTATTGTGTATGGAGAGAATTTCTATATCCAACATTTCATTTGAAAGGGAAGTAGCATTATCCGAAATTCCAGCAATATACAACTATTGAGGGTATGTGGCATATCCTAAACACGTACATAGATAATGGGTGTTGAACGAATTTTGACTACCATTGATAAGCAGGAATTTATCTAGACCAGCACCAGATCCACTATATATTGCAACCTTTGCAGGTGATGGCAGACTGGCGGAATAAACGCTTCTAGGTGGGATCTAAAAAGCTAGAGGAGGGTTCACATTTCTTTAATGTTAGAAGCAGAGGAAGAACCACCAAATCCATGGTACGAACTATTTACATTCGATGTCAACGTAAAGGGAGTATTGTGTTAAAAATGTCTGTCTTCTGTATGATTTTGAGTTTGATTTTGATGAATCAAACTGTAATGCTTTGTAAAACTGCGGGCTTTGTAAAACTCATTTTATTGCAATAAATGCATAAGCCAGGTCTTATTGGGGAAAGAGGACGTTGTTGAATATTTGAGTGTAAATTTACTTTTCTAGTGGTCTATCTAAAAATTCAAAAAAGAAATATTTATTGAGGGCAAAGTATCTAGATCAATTTCCTCCCCAAAGCCTCTTCAAAAATAAAATTAATTTTCTATTCGAATATATAAACCAAGAGAGGTTTGAATAGTGCTTTATGTGAATAACCTAAATTTTTCAGATATAATAACTGTTGTTTGCATGTACAAACAAATTCTCTTAGATTTTGTTGGCAACATTTAGATTGAATATTGAGCAACGTGTGAAAATGAGAATTAAATAAAGCTGTAGTTTGAAAAAATCTATTTTCTAAAAGGTCTAGAGTAGTTTTATATATTTCATTAGTGACTTTTATTGATTCAATTAACTTTAGGGCCACTTTGTTATAGTGTTTTCAAATAATACAATTTTTCTTCACTTTAGAATTATTTACAATTACATCAAATCAAAAAATGAGTTCCACACTTGTAAATTTCCACTGAATAAGGACATGTGTATATCTGGTAACTTGGTTCCAGAATTCGATTCAACTGAGCTAGAGGTTAGAGCTAAATTTTGTCTTGTTGCTGAAGTCTTCAACATAACGACGTAATATAATTCAGACAACTGGCAACTTTGTCTTTTCTAGCTTTGGCTTGTTGGTTTTATCGAAATTGTATGGGATTTGAGCAGAATTTCATTCTTCGGGGGTGAAGAATATGGAGTTATTGGGCACTAATAGCATATATCCGAGGACGAAGGACCACACAATGGGGATTAGGTTGTTCAAAGGTAACTGGTGTTCGGCTTTTGTAGATTTTTGACACCCTTACCCTAAAGACAGCTATCGAAATTTGGCAACACAGGGAGGGCGACCACATTTCTTGCTATAATCAAATGCCGGTTTTCGGCATTAGAAATAATTTTATTTACTATAAACACTACACAAAAATATAGCGCTAAACTAGTTAAACTAATTAACAGAGCGGTATGGAGCAACAGAAAATGTAAGAGCCTTCTTGTTGTCTCGGTTTTTTCGGACGCAGTTGACACGTCATTCGTTGTGTGTCGGGAGAAAGCTATCTGCCAAAAAAAAAACACTGTTGCCTCTGCTGAGTACAAAAGAAAGAAAAAAATGAATCACGACTGATTGAGTGCTATCCTCGTGTGATCACTTGAAAGAACAAAAAAGAAGGAAAGAAAGGCGTGAACTTTCAAATAAATTAGACAAACTAATTACTGATTACAACACTAAGTTAACCTAAAGATTACTTTTTTGTGCGTTGAGGGGCAACAAATTAGATTTTTATTGTTGTTTGTTACTATTTTTTGACTGATGCAGTTCTCTTTTAATTTTCTAAATAGCTATGGTGATATTTATAAACAAAAATGTATATTTTAGATTCGGGACACTTGTGTATGACTTTTTATTATTTTATTATCTCTGTTATTTATAGCGTTCTCCGCCTTTCTGTTCCCAGTTTCCAGCTACGTCGGTCATTCCATTCGCCAGGGTGAAGTTTTTCTTTCCGACATCGTCTTCTGAATGCCGCCCACCTAGGATTGTTTTGACCTTCCTCTCTTTCTTCTTTCCCTTGGCGTCCATTTTAAAATTTGGATTGGCAACCTGTCGTCGTCCATTCTTTTCACATGACCATACCAGATCAGTTATCTCCTTTGAATTTCGTCAATGATGGTTGACTTGTATTCTATCAAGCCTTGATTTTCTAGCTAATCTTCCCCAGAAGTCCATTTCCAATGCAAGTAGGCGTCGCTCAAGGGATTTAGTAAGTTGCCATGTTTCGCATCCATAGAGCACTATACTTTTAAAGATGGAGTTAAAGAGGAGATGCTTTCTTTGATTTGATAGTTCTTTTGACCATAGCATCGGGTTTAGGCATCCTATCACCCTTTTTCCTTTTAAGATTCTTTGCATCTCTTTTTCGGTGCGCCCACTCTTCTTGATTGTTGTTCCCAAATATATATATATATATATATATATATATATATATATATATATATATATATATATATAACCAAGTTAGACTCTTTGGGTAAAAACAGCTGAAAGGATAGGCTAAGTGTACTCTTTAGTCCTTTGTTGATCCAATATTTCGTTGATAGTTATCAATATCATCAGGGATAAGCTACAATTAGTTTACATGAAAATTGACAATCTGTTACAAATACGTTGATCTTACTTACGATTTTGAGAATGGTGCCGTAAAAGCTGGTCAAATTTATAAAATTTTGTGAGAAAAATTGTATAAGCTTTTTTCTCACAAAAGAAAAACAGAAAAAACATGTAATGTTAAAATTCACTAAGACTGGTACAAAGACAATGCACAATTTCAACTAATTGTGTGTAGGACCGAATGTACTCTCTCGAGAGTTTTACATCTTATAAATTCTTATTTCTTATTAAACTGTACAGAGTGTCATGTAAAGTGAAACAACGTGGTTGATTGTAGGTTGGAAGACACTAACCTCTAAAATCTTCTTCTCTCTTAGATGGTCAAAGTAGAGGGGAGACTTTAGTGGCCCTTGTCTTATTGGTTGTCTGTACCTGTATTAGAATAGAATCTAAGGTAGGAGATATTTTAAGTAAAATTTTAAATTGTTAACATGATTGAAGATCATGGTAACAATAGTGTAATAAATAGATTTTGGTTGATTCCAAGACTTAGTTATTTTGTAAAGGTTGAAGATTGAAAAATACATAGGCCACACAGAAAGGCATCTAAAAAATTGCATAATTTCACATAAAAGCGACTGCAGACTGCATCATGACCGCTGCTCATTAGCACTTCATGTAGTACATGAAGGACATCAGATGGATTTTGAGTCAGTAGAGGTTCTAGAAAGAGAAACCAACTACAAGAAACGTCTTTTCCTAGAAATGGCTTGTATAGCACAAACAGAAAACAACATCAATAAAAAAACAGACAGTAACCATCTCAGTGAAATTTATTCCTTTCTTCTAACAGTAGACAAACAACATATGAAATTCAACAATTCAATAGTTTCCATTTTAGAATAAATTTAACTCTAGTTTATCACATAGTTTAACAATAGACTCTTAAAGTAAAAGAATCATACAGCACTTTATCGATTTACAATAATTAACATTTCATATCAAAACTTAAATATAACAGTACTTTATAATCTTCAACCTTTACAAAATAACTAGGTCTTGGAATCAACCAAAATCTATTTATTACACTCTTGTTACCATGATCTTCAATCATGTTAACAATTTAAACTTTTACTTAAAATATCTCCTACCTTAGATTCTATTCTAATACAGGTACAGACAACCAATAAGACAAGGGTCACTAAAGTCTCCCCTCTACTTTGACCATCTAAGAGAGAAGAAGATTTTAGAGGTTAGTGTCTTCCAACCTACAATCAACCACGTTGTTTCACTTTACATGACACTCTGTACAGTTTAATAAGAAATAAGAATTTATAAGATGTAAAACTCTCGAGAGAGGACATTCGGTCCTACACACAATTAGTTGAAATTGTGCATTGTCTTTGTATCAGTCTTAGTGAATTTTAACATTACATGTTTTTTCTGTTAGAGAAAAAAACTTATACAATTATACAAACGTATTTGTAACAGATTGTCAATTTTCATGTAAACTAATTGTAGCTTATCCCTGATGATGTTGATAACTATCAACGAAATATTGGATCAATAAAGGACTAAAGAGTACACTTAGCCTATCCTTTCAGCTGTTTTTACCCAAAGAGTCTAACTTGGTTTTATCTTCTAACTTAATCAGCTGTGATTAACACCATATATATATATATATATATATATATATATATATATATATATATATATATATAAATATATATATATATATATATATATATATATATATATATATATATATATATTCCTCACAGTTCTTGATTGTTTCATGTTCGTTGACCATTAGATCTTCTACTTCATTCCCGATGCTTCATATGTTTTAAACAACCGTCTCGTCATGAATTCTAGATCTTCTTTGTCTGCTACCACTACTACTTGATCGTCCGCAAAATGTAGAGTGTATAATGTATCGTCGTCAAGTTGGATCCCCATTCCTAAACAGGATCTTCTCCAGTATTTCAGTGCTTCATTTAAATAGATCTTAAATAGCATTGGAGAGAGGCAGCATCCTTGTCGTAAGCCTTTTTGTACTGGAAATTCTTCTGATAAGGTGTTGTTTAGATTGATTTTTGATGATGCTTTATTGTATAATTGTTTGACTGCGGCGATGATCACAGCTTTCTCACAGGAATCGTGTCATATGATTTTGTGAGATCCACAAATAAAAGATGTATTTCCTGGTTTATTGCAACTTTCTTTTCATTCAGTTGTGTTAGGGTAAATATGTGGTCTACGCAAAATCTTCCAGCTCTATATCCTGCTTGCTGTTCAATTTCATGAGGTTCGTATTCTTTCTCAATCATGTTTTTTTTTTAATTTTACCAAACAGCCTGCTAAAGGTACTGGTGACAGTCATACATCTGTAGTTTCCGCAAATATCTTTTGGACCTTTTTTGTGAATTGGAGTAATCCATGCTTCTTTCCAACTATTCGGGATTTCTTCCCCATTTAAGTAATACCTTGACTTCTTTTGACCATGACTTTTTATTACACGTATTTGAAATAAGTTCGCATTTTGTTTTTGTCCGCTACATTATTTTAAAGTGAGTGTTTCAAAATTATTATTTTAGAAACCACAATACAATCTTTCAATTAATTATATATTTTTAGGTAGTGCTAATATTAATATCTTCTGCATGTGAGTCAACGGAAAGAACTGGAAAAGAAGTCATCGATATCTGCTATGAACTTAGTTTAAAAGAGCAGGATCCCAGAAATAAGGAAAACCTTTTTGATTTAGCATTTTACACAAAGCAATGGCGGCCAAGATTTTCTGCAGCTGGATTTTTTAACTGCAACCAGCGATGTTTTAACTTTTTCTTTTCAACATTTATCGATTACTTGGTTATAATTTTACAATTCGACTTAAGTTTAAATAACGGTTAAGACGATAGAATGTAAAACTGTATAACTATATAGTATATAGTTATACAGTTATAGTTATACATATAACTCTATAGTAGCTAGGTTTTAAGGTTTCCCAGTGTGCTCTAGCCAGTAATTTGTTTCAGTTTAATTAATTTATAATCGTTTTCATCGTTCTTGGCGTGTGCGTGTAAAAACACTTGCAATAAGTTGTTTTATCTGTCTTTCTTTGTCTAAGCTCGATTCGTTTACCTCCTCCAGTGGCGGAGCAAAATTCAGCATGTCAAACGAAATAATAGTAATAAAAGAAAATTATAAATTATTTTTCATTAAATTTGCGAAGAAGTATTTTTCTAGCTTGCAGTACAATAGAACAGGATAATATAACGAAAAGTACATTTTAAAAGGATTTTGAAATATACCCAAATAAGTGTTAATTATTTAACCCACTTTAATTAAAAATGATACAGATTTTTTAAGTTTTAAGCACTGTAGCAAATTCTGAACTATTACAACGTACTGACCTTGATTAATTAGTTAATCAGTCAGCGTCTTCACTGGAACTGTCTTCATCATTGGAATCTTCCGCCAAATCGATGATAATCCTACTTTTATTTTCATCATATGTGACCATTTTTGCCCAGTCGTCCTGAATTAATTTTTCAGAATGGTTAACACAACTCGCTCACACTGCAGGTGTTGCCTCAGCTAATGCATTGCCCCAAACTTTTTTCACTGTTTCATCTCCACGTCCATGTTCTCCAATATGACGATCACAGTATTGTTTAGAAATGCCCCAGACCAACTCAATCGGATTATATTGACAGTGATATGGAGGCAATCTCAAAACCTGATGCCCATGTTCTTGGAGTAGCTCGTCTATAACGTACCTGGTATTTTGTGATTTATTCTGGCGACAAAACTCTGTCTTGCCCAAATCGTCGTCAAAAATAATTTTTTTCGCTCGTAACCGTTCTTGTGAGTCCGATTTTTTCCAACTGGCGTTCGGTAACTTTTCTATTAAAGAGCTATGGTATGAGACATTATCCATAATAATTAGAGATGGTTTCCCCAACATTAGTATCAGCTTTTCGGAGACCCACTTTTTAAAATACTCTTTATCCATAGAATCATGATAGTCTGCACTCTTCGATTTCGTAGAAAACAGTAATCCAGCATCTTTAACAAATCCTTGCCTACTTCCGGCATGTAAAACAACAAAGCGTTTACCTGTATTTTCGTGTACTTTTCTGATGCTTTTCACACAGTAATCTTGTCAAGTATGTTTATATGCCCCTTTTAGGAATATCCATGTTTCATCTAAAAAAACGAACTGAAGTGGGCTTGGATTTAAAAAATTTCTCATATAATGCCTCAAAAAATACAGTCGTTTAGAGACAATACATGGTTTCTCACATAGCACTCGTCTACTATTTTCTAGTTTGTATGAAAACCCACAATTTTTCATAAGACGCCACAAACTTGTATCAGAACCGTCATAGAGATGCTTGTTTCTTAATTGTGTATTTAGAACTTTAATTGTAACGTGCTCTCCTTTTGCTTTCATGCCATACAGTACATTTCTAATCTCTCCTTTTATAGTATCGCTGACATCATTAGTCTTTTTTTTTTGTACATTACGTGACTCTCCTGGTGTAGTAATAGCTGCCCCTGTATTGTATTCTCTCTTTGTTCTTGTCACTGTGCGAAGACTGATTTTCAAAGCGTCCACTACTTGTTCATGTACCGATGATAACGAAAGCAAAGGTCCGTCGTTTTCTTTTTCTTTTTTAAAATACTCCAATAAATGAACTACAAATTGTCGCATTTTTCCTATTATCGTTTTTCCCGGCCTTTTTTTTATTAAATAGAACTATTAGTTATTCACAACAAAAAATAATAAGTAAAACTGTTCGAAACAAATTCCAACAATGACCGACTAAAATCGACTAAAACAACATAAAATATTAATGGTAATTGCTACAATTATAAACCTATTAGCCAGCTCATTTAAGAACAATGCCACAAGTCATTATTGCAATGGGTATCGGAAGAGAGAGAGAGAGAGAGTTAATTTACAATAAACTGGAATTTTTAAGGTGTCGAGAGCATTATTTTATGTAATGGAATTCCACACAGTAAGAGCACAAACTATTAATTAATTAAAAACTGTTTACTTATAAAAACTATTTCATCAGCTACTTTAAACCTGCAGAGATCAGGGAAACATGTTAAAAAAAACACGTCACTGCCAGCTATCTGTATTCGTAAAGAGGCCGAACTTATCACCGACACCATATCGGCCAAACGCATCGGTGTTATTGCTACAATACTGGGAGACGTGAGTGGTCTCTTCATTCCCTTCTCATCGCACTTTACCATGACGAACGTGACTCGCACAATTGAATTACACATCTGTGTATCAGAGCGAGAGACGAATATTAAAAATTCCGTAGTAGCTTATTTCAGGCACACGCCAAGAACGATGAAAACGAATATAGTAAATTTTTATTCTTGCTAAGTTAAAAGTTTTAAAATATTCTTATATATGTAACAGTTATTGTATTCTAATATTATAATATTAAGTGTTTGCACCAATCGACACTTTTTAGAGATAACTAATCACTTTTTAGAGATATTGTCAGATTTTAAGAGATTAGTCGAAAATAGTCCATCTTCTTAGAAAAATGGTTTTTCGTAGATAAACGTCTCTAGGGTATTTATGGGCTTTTTTTAAAAATTATCAGGGATCTTTAGTTGAAATAATATTTAAATAAACCACTAGAATATTGATATAAAGTTAATACACAATTATAAAGTAAATTTTTTTAACCATTTCTGTTATATATACCTAGGTATATAAAAAAGTGATTTTCTCGACCGGAAAATTACGTTTTGTTTTTCAAGACAGGATTTAAGAAATAAACTGCTTGTGACTGTACGTACTCGTAAAGTATCTAGTATATGCGGGTAAGCTTGCGCTGGACATATCCTTTAATTTTTAAACAAATGTCCCTAGGTCGCTTTCAAGCGACCTTTACAATCCACGTTCATAAAAGAGTAAAGTGGACCACTTTTTCCGTAAGACCCTCCGAAGTGGCTCAAATATTTTTTAAAGTTTGATTAGGCTTACCAAATTCCACTATTATAATGAAATATAAAGTAAAAAGTAAAAGTAAAAAATAAATACTATAAGTTTTTTCAAGTGTTTCGGCTATTTGCCATTTTTATTAAACACTTTGTTTTATAAACATTATATTATACAATAATATTTTATGTTAACACTCTTTAAAAGTTTAACATGGATCAAAAAATTGGTATTTGTTTTATTTATTCGTTCCAACGGTAGAACCATTTACAATAAAATACAAAAAATAGTAAAAAGTAAAGATCATGTACAATAAACATCAAAACAATAACAAAGAAACAAGTAAACAGTTAAAATTTGTACATTAAAACAATATATCATATCACAAAAATTTTAAAAAAGTATCAGTATCACATAGTAAGTATCACATATCTAGATTAATAGTCAGATTCTGAAGTTGCCTTTTAAAAGCATTAATGTTTATGCAGAAAGAATCCAATAGCAGGTCATTGCAAGAGCTGAGCATTCTTGACAGGGGAAAACGACGAGCATAATCAGTCCTATGAAAAGGAATATGAAAGAGTGCAGTGTGTCGAGTTCTATGCATTGTGTTTAAGTGTACATTGGTCAATAACGAGGGACAATTAATAACATTGTTCATAATTTTAAACAAAAATAACATATCAGCTCCCAACCTGCGGTTTTTCAATGTATCAATGTTAAAATGAGACATTATTATAGAATAATCTATGAAATAATTTTCAGTATTTTTTATATTAATATGGGCTTTAAAAGCTAAAGAGCGTAGAAACTTCCTCTGAACGCTCTTCAATGTATACTTGATGAAACGGGGACCAGACAACAGAGCAGTATTCAAGACCTGAGCGTACCAGAGAGCAATACAATTATTTAAATACAATAGGTGAGAGATCATGACTGTTGCGATAAATAAAACTAAGATTACGAAATCCTGTTTCCTTTTTTATTATAAGAAAATGACTTCTAAACGTCAATGCACAATCCAATAATACACCCAAATCTCTAATCACAGTAACTAAATCCAAGAGTACATCATTAAGAATATATCTATTAGCCATTACATTATTTATACGACCAAATGAAATACAAGAACATTTAGTTGAATTTAAGCTTAAACCATTTTGTTTTGACCACAAATATTTGTAGTTTACATCATCTTGCAGGAGATCTCTATCCGATTTATTAGGTATACAACAAAACATCTTAAGATCATCAGCAAATAGCAGGAAGTGTAAGTTTTTGATAGCCTTACCAATATCGTTAACGAACAAGTTAAAAAACAAGGGACCACAATGAGACCCTTGTGGTACACCAGAATAACAATGAAATTCTTTTGAAATATAATTGTTAATACGAACTTGCTGTGTACGTTCCATCAGAAAACTTTTAATCCAATTAACAATGGGATCATCAAAGCCAGATGCATGAAGTTTGTGGACCAAAAGATTATGATTAACCTGGTCAAAGGCCTTTGAGAAATTTTACCTGAATTTTATTCTCAAATGCACCCAACAACTATTGTTGGTAATTGAGAAGGTTTGTTACAGTTAATTTCCCATTAGAAAAACCATGTTTTTCATCAATAATTATGTTTCTGCAAGCCCAGGTAAGATTTATCGATATCAATTTATCAAGAAGTTTCGGGATTGCTGATTGAATAGTTATACCTCTATAATTGTGAACACACTCGCGATTGCCAGATTTATAGATAGGTGTAAGAAAACTATTTTTCCAATATTGTGGAAATACAGATGATAACAACGATAAATTGAAAATTTGTTGTAAAGGTTTACAAAGGGAAAAAATACAGTTCTTAATAAGTGCTGCAGGTATACCATCAGGCCCTGAAGAATATGTAGTCTTTAAACTGCTAATCCCCTTGAAAACATCAATC